TATTTAAAATAGTATGTACACTAACCACACGTAACGTCGCACGAGAAAGTCCCAATGTTCGGAGGGGGATATGATGCTCAGAGGAGAATATGAAATTTTGGTCAATGTCACGTGTGATAGTCTCAACCAATCAAATGTTGATTTTGCTATCAATGTTTACTGTAAATTCAGAAATTATTGCGTGCATTTATTATTGTGATTTTTCATGAATGAACAAAAATGCGAGTTTCATTATTGCGATTTTAGGAAAAGCTTTGTACAGATAGGAACAGATATCAGATTATGAGTTTTTATTTTTGCAATACTCAAGGTGTCGCATTATTCGCATTAATAATCAAAGTGCTTGTAAGCACAGAAGGATAAAGATTGCTTTAAGTTATCAGTGGGAAGTAAAATTAAACATTGCATTGTTTAAAGCATTGGTTGTAGTTGATTCAACTACAATTATTGACAAAGGAAGATAACTCCAATTCTAAAGATTACTTTAACAATGACATCATTGATATTTTTAGAACAGATATCAGATTCCTGCACCTTGCACAAGTTATGTAATTGTCTTGACCAGTAAAACATCATTTTGTAACTTGAATATCTGAGCACATCTTTCATTGATAAATTTCTGGAAATGTTCATGGATAGGATGTATAGAATGTTATGATCAATGCACTATATTTTGTGTATCTCAAAGGAAGTGATAAACCTTGGAAGATTTAGATATCAAGTCAGTACAATAGGGTTTCGATTGCATTTCATTCAATCTTTACCCAAAAACCTCGCAATAATTTCTGAATTTACAGTACATACAGTGGAATAATACATTATGTTGCACGTGATAAATAAACAACTATGCCAAGAGTGCATGATACGCCTTTATTGTTCATAATGCAATTGGTGCAAGAATGAAAAGGGAAATTTCAAAGGCATTCAATCATAATCAAATAGAATGGCTCTGTAGAAAAACATGCATGAGTATACTCTTAGACCTATAAATATTGCATCAGATATGACTGTTAAAAGTCCCATAACTCTGGAATGACAAACAAGAAAATTTACAAAATCAAAAGAGTCTTCATTCACCAATCCACCAATCCTAACAATTGTGTCAAGATTTGGTAATTTGATCAAAGCATAGTAGAGCTAGTGAATGTTATTTATCTGATGGTCAAGTCCCTTAACTCTGGAAAGACATATCAAAAATGTTTTTTTTTTAAACAAACGGTGTGTTATGTTCACCAATTCCAACTATCATGTAAAGTTTCCAGTAAATCAATCCAAACAAACTCAAGTTATGGTACACTATGTGAAAAATTTACTTAAATCTGCCAATTAAAGTCCCGTAACTCTGGGACAACAAGCCAGAAAATTAAAACTTGAGAGTCTAAACAGCCTGTGTCGCTAACCTAGGTTTATGTGCATCTTCAACATTGGGACTAAAGAGAATTCATGACTAAAATATCTTCTTATTTTATCTAGTATTGCTGATGTTTTTTTCTGTTTAGTTTCTCTCTATCTTCTATAGTTTTTTTCCCCCAAAACACAAAGAAAGATTAGAAAATAAATTGTTATTTAAGGGCAATTACTCATATAAGAGCAAAAAACTGTCAATTTCATCTATTCTGACCAATTTGCAGATCTTGTCTTGTTGATCATTTTTTCTTTGCTTAAAGTTTCTATCTTTCTACTATAGTTTTCAAAATAAATATGCAATTTGTGCTGTAACACCACTGTCCCAGGTTAGGGGAGGGTTCAGTACTCACAAACATGTTCAACCCCGCCACATTCTTTATGTGCCTGTCCCCAAGTCAGGAGCCTGTAGTTCAGTGGTTGTCATTGGTTCATGTCCTATTTGTTTTCGTAAATTGTTTTGTTATAAATTAGGCCTAAGTTTTTTCAATTGAATTGTTTCATATTTTTAATGTCAGGGTCTTATATAGCCGACTATACAGTATGGGTTTTTCTCATTATTGAAGGCCATACAGTTGTCTATAATTGCTTACATCCACTTCATTTGAACTTTGTTGGATAGTTATCTCATTGGCAATCATACCACATCTCCTTATTTTTATAATAACATAGAAAATTAATGGGCAATAACTCCTATAAGTATTCAACTGAACATTTCGACCATGTTGAGTGTTGACATATTTGTAATCTTTTTTGCTATTAAATTTCCCTCTATTTATCATAATTTTTAAGATAATAGGCAAAAACCACAAACAAATAATATAAATCATTATTAAAGAGCTATTACTCCAATAAATCAGTGTCAAATTAAATGCATAATCTTGAAAAAAAACATGCTAATATGCTATGAATATGAACTATGCTTTGTACTTGACCGACACAATGAGCCAAATGTTTAATATTCTAGTTCTCAAGGTTAGAGAAGGCAGGAAGACATGTAAATCCTGATTTAAAGCAAACCAGTCTTGCTCCTAAATGTAACAGGCTTTAAGTTGAGAAGACACAAATAATACTTTTCAAGTCTAGATTGGCCTGGCCAAAGATCAAACCAACAACCATCTAATCTTGAGGGAAGATCATCAAGGAAGTTGAAACTCCACGGAAAACATAGTCATATAGTACATTGTACTAGGAAGCCACATATTGTTCGTTCTGCATCAGATATATTTCTTTATTTCTCTTAACAAGAAAACTTTATAATTTAAACCTTGGAGTAATGATAAACCACAGCAGACATAGTTGAAATAAATGATAAAAGCCTTGGAGTAATGATAAACCACAGCAGACATAGTTGAGATAAATGATAAAAGCCTTGGAGTAATGATAAACCACAGCAGGCATAGTTGAGATAAATGATAAAAGATTTTCATATGTAATACAAAAAAAAAAAATTTGTACATAGAGAGAGATTGGCCATTGTTGTATCAGACATTTTGCTAGATAGAGTCAAACTGAATATACAAAATAAACTACAGAACTTATCAATCTTTAAAACATATAAAATTTGAATTAAACTTAAATTTCAAATTTTTCTAATACCAATAAATGGTAAGTTGTCTTACAAGGCTAAAGCTTGCTATATCCTACAAACAATACCATAATGTACAATCTTGTCTGTGACAAGATTGAATTTGTTTCCCAGGAACTGAAATTAACAAATTGAAGTAACTTAAATTTAATTTTAGGTACTCTTTCTTTGAAGAATAAATAAATTAAACAAGCATTCTGAGAGTATTGCATGGCAATACATAGTCCCCTACCGAGTAAAAATTCATTATACTGGAACAAAATGCTAACTTGTTCTATAACTTGTCATGACGTAAACAAAAAGTAAATATCATGTCAATATCTTCAAGCATGACTAAAACCAGTGTGGAAAACTGATTATTTGAGTGAATTTTTCAAGTCCAAGGACCATAACTCTGCACAAAATCATTAGACCGAAACAAAAATTTGAACTTGATCTGTAACTTGTCATGATAAAACTATATACCAATTATCAATCAATATCTTATAAGCATGATGAAAAAAAACATTAGATATGATTAATAGTTCTCTAAAATAAGATATGATGTAATACAGTGTATATCTATTTTCAAATTATAATCAAATATATTTAATAGTTCCAAATATTTTTTCTTTCATTTGTCACAAACTAATATAGATTTGTAACTTATCTATAAAATATCAACAACTTTTATCTACACAATGTAATGTATTGAAATATATACATTAATAAAAATAGATTATTATCTAATTAAAGGATTTCTCTTCATAATTTTTTTTATATATATATAGCGTTCAGAAAATTAGTTTATACTAAATAACAAACAAACCTGCCAAAAAAATTCTTCAAATAATTTAACAAAGAATGTCTTTTAAAAAATGAGTTATCTCCCTTTGTACAGATATATGGTTTAACATAGTACTCTAACATTAGAAATGGTCCAGAGTTATGGTCCATAACTCTGAACTAAAACATCAGACCGGAACAAAATTCGAACTTGATCTATAACTTGTCATGATAAAACTATATACCAAATATCAAATTAATATCTTCAAGAACAAAGAAAAAAAGTGTGGAAAGCTGATTTGCCGGACTGACGGATGGACAGTTGACAGACAGACGGAGTGCAAACCTAAAGTCCCATACGACTTCGTCGCTAGTGGACTAAAAAAGTATAAATTACTGAAATCTACTATAACTAAGGGGATTTCCACAAATCTGTGTGTGTGTGTGTGTGTAGAATGAGCATTTTCACATTATTCTTCTGTGCATATACTGTGAAAGTTCTTTTATTCGTGGGGTTCCAATTTTCGTGGTTTTCGTGGATGGCTTTATCCACAAATGTAAGTGTCCAACGAAATGAAATAAAAGAACTGTTGTCCAAATCAAGACATGGAAAGATCCCCATTACCTTAGGTTTGACAACATGGATACAAGCATATGATGTAGAGAATACATCAAATATTAGAAAACACACTATGAACTATATACACAACTTCAAACAAGATTTTACCCATTTAATTTAAAAAAAAACCTTTACTGTACAACTTTTAACCTTTTAATTCTTGTGAAAAATTAGTTTCGATGGATAAAAGTTAGACTTCCGTCGGTGATATATGATGATGAAGTGTTCATTGTATCTCCTCATAAATCTCATTTAAAAAAAACAAATTTCATGTTGGGCTTACTTTTTTTATTTCATAAGAATTAATTTTACAATTCAAAATACATTTGTACCATCTTTTTATGTAACCGTTTTCTTTAAGCGATATTTTTATGGCCCAATTAACACCTTTGGCAATTCTTCACCCGATTTTTTTCTTTCAAAAAATTAAAATCCATGAATTTAAGAACCCAGGAACATATAACTTTTGCTCAAACCACGAAAATTGATACGCACAAATGAAAGTACTTTCACAGTATTATCTTAATTGCAAATGGCAGCTCACAATATTTGCAAAATAAACAAACTTTGATGAGTGATTTGCTACGAAACATGACGTTAATACTGGAATCAACGTGTCAAATATTAATAAAAGATCATTTTAATCACAGTTTAATGAAGTCACAAATTTATTTTACCAAAAATCAGTATCGTTTGATGAACACTTATGTAACATTGGTCATAAGTCAAACAAAACACCATGCCTGGTTTACATCAAACAATGTTATAATATTCTTTTGAAAGACAATACAATTGGTAAACCCTTTCACTTTGACTGTTGAAACACAAGGGTGAGTTGTTATTACTCTATGGAAATGTGATGTGACATAATAGAATGAGACTTTTTTACACTTGTAAACTATGAAGGTTGAGCCTTGGTTTAACTGTCACCTTTTTTTAAACATTTCCTCAAATATTAAAACAGGGATTCTACCTTATCGAAGATTAACCACGCCTTGGTTCATTGTTGCCTATAAGTATTAAAACAACAGTATATAATGTCAATTTATTATATGTTTGCAAAATCACTTCTTTCCTTTCGATGAACTTTTAAATTTCTTAAATTGTCCTGGTTTAAACTGTTTCTTATTTCCTTTCTTTGACATCCATTTACTTTTGCCTTGTTTGTCTTTTTTCACATTGGCTTGCTTTTTTTTCACTGTCTTTGTCTCTTGTAAACTTTGACTATTTTCTTCTGAACTTTGACCTTTATCTTCTGAACTCTGATTTAAGACTGCAGTCTCCTTTTGCTCTGCCACATTTTCTGTTGTTCCTTGCTTATCTACAAAAAAAATATCAATTCTAGATTAATGTCCATGAAAATATTTTTAAATAAGCAAATGCAAAAAAAATGTTAATTTGTGTTCCAACCGAAAAGAAACCAAGGGACAATCTAATATCATATGTTTAAAAAAAACAACAGACAACACGAAGATTGAATGTTACACTTCATCATTTTCATTATTATTTCACTAAATAAAATGCTTCGCAGGGCGCAGCTTGATACGACCGCAGAGGTCGAACCCTGAACAGTTGAAGCAAGTATGGACACAACATTCAAGCTTGATACAGCTCTGAATTTGGATTGTGATTAAATATTTGACACAGCATAGGTTTCTGACACAGAATGAATGTGGTCTAAGAACTTAAAAATTTTAAATTGGACATTCACCTATTATGGTCCAATATCCAAATTCTAAATACATGGTTAGATTCAGCATATAAAATCAAAGAACCCCAAGAATTCAATTTTTGATGAAATCAAACAAAGTTTAATTTTGGACCCTTTTGACCTCAATGTGGACAAAGTTGATAATGGGGCCCAAAAATCAAAAATCTAAATACATGGTTAGATTCAGCATATCAAAGAACCCCATATATTCAATTTTTGTTGAAATCAAACAAAGTTTAATTTTGGACCCCGATTTGGACCAACTTGAAAACTGGGCCCATAATCAAAAATCCATGTTTAGATTCAGCATATCAAAGAACCCTAAGAATTCAAATTTTGTTAAAATCAAGCTAAGTTTAATTTTGGACCCTTTGGACCTTAATGTAGACCAATTTGAAAACAAAACCAAAAATTAAGAATCTAAATACACGGTTAGATTTGGCATATCAAAGAACCCCATATATTCAATTTTTGTTGAAATCAAACAAAATTTAATTTTGGACCCCGATTTGGACCAACTTGAAAACTGGGCCCATAATCAAAAATCTAAATACATGTTTAGATTCAGCATATCAAAGAACCCCAATAATTCAATTTTTGATGAAATCAAACAAAGTTTAATTTTGGACCCTTTGGACCTCAATGTGGACCAATTTAAAAGCGGGGCCCAAAATCCAAAAACTTAATACACGGTTAGAATCAGCATATTAAAGAACCCCAAGAATTCAAGAATAAAACCCCATTGAAATTGGTCAAGAAATAAGCAATTTATACGAAGTATCTTCTTTTGCACAATACTGTGCAATTGAATATTTCTTGCTATTGCGCAATACTGTACAATTGACAATTTCTTGCTATTGCGCAATATTGTGCTATTGGATATTTCTTGCTATTGCACAATACTGTGCAATTGAAGATTTCTGGCTATTGCGCAATACTGTGCAATTGAAGATTTCTTGCTATTGTGCAATACTGTGCAATTGAAATTTCTTGCTATTGCACAATACTTATTATATAATAATTTACACATCCTGTTTGGTGTGTATCTCCTACCATATCATTATTATTTGCTTTTAAATATAAAACAGAAATAACCAACTTAAAATGGAAAATTTTAAAAGAAAAATAAAGGAAAAAAAGAAAAAAAAGGAAAACCCCCCCCCCAAATTTTTTGAACCCCCTTATGATTCATCACCCCCAAACTCAATCCCAGCCTTCCCTTTGTGGTATGGTACCTTGCAGTACAATTTCAGAGAGATCCATACACTTGAACACAAGTTATTGTCTGGAAACTAGAATAAACTGCTTCGCTGAGCGCAGCTGGATACGCCCGCAGAGGTCCAACCCTGAACAGTTGGGGCAATAAATGGACACAATATTCAAGCTTGATACAGGTCTGAATTTGGATTGTAATTAAATATTTGATATATTATAGGTTTCTGAATAAATGTAGTCAAAGAACTTGAAATTGGTTATATGAAAGATTTTTTGCTGTTGTGCAATACTTAGTACATGTGTTGTCAGACTATAAACAAATAAAATCTTATAACTCTGAAATGTAAAATCGAAAATTTATAAAAATGAAAAGGGAGCTTACAAAAAAAGATATAAACAATTTACCAAAGTCTCATAAAAAATGCTGAAAGCATTTTTGAGTTATTGTCTGAAAACTGAAAAATCCCCCTTTTTGTAATGAATAAAACCCCATAAATATATATTCTGAAATTTATAAAAATAAAAAGGGAGCTCATGTCGATAGAAATAAACAATTCACCAAAGTTTCTTGCAAATTGGTGAAATTGTTTTTGAGTTATTGTCTGAAAACTGGAAAATCCCCCCTTTTTTAATGAATAAAACCCCAAAACTCAGAAATGGCAAATCTGAAATTTATAAAAAAAAGAAAGGGAGCTCACGTCAATAGATATAAACAATTCACCAAAGTTTCATGCATATTTGTTAAAGCATTTTTGAATTAATGTCCGACATGTTGACGACGGACGGACGGACAGATGGACGGACGGATGGACAGCGGTATACCATAATACGTCCCGTAAACGGGCGTATAAAAATGCTTATTTTTAGCCCCTTTTTGGCCCCTTATTCGTAAACGTTTTGGGCAATTACCCGGTACCCCCAAACTCAATTCCAGCTTTCCCTTTGTGATATGGAACCTTGTAGTACAATTCCAGAAAGATCCATACACTTACACACAAGTTATTGTCATGAAACTAGAAAAATGCTTGTTTTTTGCCCCTTTTTTGGCCCCTAATTCCTAATATTTTGAGGCAATTACCCCCAAAATCAATCCCAACATTCCCTGTGTGATATGGAACCTTGTGGTACAATGTCAGAGAGATCCATACACTAACACACAAGTTATGTCTGGAAGTTACAAAAATGCTTATTTTTGGCCCCTTTTTGGCCCCTAATTCCTTAACTGTTGGTACCATAACCCCCAAAATCAATCCCAACCTTCCTTTTGTGGTATTGAACCTTATGGTAAAATTTCATAGAGATCCATTCACTTAAACTAAAGTTAGAGTGCGAAAACCAATGTGTCTTCGGACGACGCCGGACGACGACGACGACGCCAACGTCATACCAATATATGACCGCAAAAATTTTTTGCGGTCGTATAAAAATTACCAGTGTTATTTTTCATTTTTAAACATAGATATGCAATTTTTCTACCTGATCTTATGATCATTTATTGATTTTTTTATAAAAATTATGACACTGAAGATGAATGGTTTTATTTCTTTTATTTCATTTCCATAATCTTACTAAAAAAAATTCAAACTTGATCTGTGTTTTGTGGTAATAAGCATTGTTTATAAGTTTCATAACATTTGGTTGAGGCAAACTAAAATTAGAGAACGGAAACGAAAAAATTCAGCAATTTTCCATTTGTAAAGGGGCATAACTCTAGAACGGTAAAAGTGACGCCACCAAAATTCAAACTTGATCTGTGTTTTGTGGTAATAAGCATTGTGTATAAGTTTCAGAACATTTGGTTGAGGCAAACTAAAGTAAGGGAACGGAAACGAAAAATTCAGCAATTTTTCCATTTGTAAAGAGGCATAACTCTAGAACGGTAAAAGTGACGCCACCAAAATTCATACTTGATCTGTGTTTTGTGGTAATAAGCATTGTGTATAAGTTTCATAACATTTGGTTGATGCAAACTAAAGTTAGAGAACGGAAACCAATTTTGGAACGTACGTTATGCCCCCGCCGCAGCGGAGGGGGCATTAAGTTTTACCCTTGTCCGTCCGTCTGTACGTACGTATCCCGCCGTAGCGGAGGGGGCATTAAGTTTTACCCTGGTCCGTCCGTCTGTACATACGTACGTACGTACGTACATACAGACGGACGGACGGACATGGGTAAAACTTAATGCCCCCTTCGCTATGGCGGGGGCATAAAAATTATGTTCAATTGCCCAAAGATGGAGAATTTCTCAATTTTCATACAATAAAATTGAGAATGGAAATGGGGAATATGTCAAAGAGACAACAACCTGACCAAAGATCAGACAACAGCCGAAGGCCACCAATGGGTCTTCAATGCAGCGATAAAATTCGGCACCAGGAGGTGGTTCTCAGCTGGCCCCTTAATAAAATTGTGTGCTAGTTCAGTGAAAATGGACGTCACACTAAACTCCAAAACATACAAATGAACTAAAATTAAAAAAACATACAAGACTAACAAAGGCCAGAGGCTCCTCACTTCGGACAGGCGCAAAAATGAGGCGGGGTTAAACATGTTTTGTGAGATCTCAACCCTCCCACTATACCTCTAGTCAATGTAGAAAAAAGAAACACATAGCAATACGCACAGTAAAACTCAGATTAAAAGAATTCTGAGTCCGATGTCAGAATAGGTAACAAAAGAAACTAAGCAAAATGACAATGATACATAAATGAACAAAGGACTACTAGCAGTTACTGACATGCCAGCTCCAAACCTCAATTAAACTGATTGAAAGATTATGTCTTCATCATATGAAAATCAAGTACAATCCCTCCCGTTAGGGGTTTAGTATCATACCATCATAAAATATATGAGAAGAACATAATCCGTATCATGCCAACAACTGGTTTTAGGATAAATGTGTTTATTTCCGATGCAAAGACCATATGAGTAAATCAATATTTATACCAAAATATGCAATCCTTAATGACTTGACAACAGTATTGTAACTATATCCTTTCCGAATAAGTCTGTTTAAAGGTTTGGTTAGCTTTTGAGGTGAATGCTGACATTTTTGTGCTTTGTAAAGAATATTACCATAAAATATTGGATGTGAAATATCTGAACGTATAAGATGTCTGCATTCTGATTTATATTTACGAATGATGTCCTTGTACCGATGATAAAATATAGTAAATGTTTTGACTAGTTTGTGATATCGAAAAACCCTGGTGTAATAATTTTTCATTAATAGAGATTTCTTTTGTTGAAATCAAATATGTTGTTACAAACACGAGCGAATGGAACAAGTTGAGATATATAAACACCATAAGATGGCGACAAGGGAACGTCACAATCTAACTAGAGGCTCTCAAGAGCCTGTGTCGCTCACCTGACTCTACTTTGGTTTTAGAAATCATGTAAAGATAGATAAAAATCATAACAGATACCCAAATAATGATTGAGGCCAAATTTGGTTAAATATTGGTCCCGTTATTTAATAAAATATCCTGGTGGCCATCTTGAACAGTAAATCAGCAGCAAAGTAGCAACACTTGATCAGCACCTCATAAGGAACATGTATTTCCCATTAGGTCCTTTGTTAACCTAAGTCCCCCCCTGGCGGCCATCTTGGATGATGGACTGACTGCAAAGTACCAACACTTGGTCAGCACCTCATAAGGAACATTCATGCCATGTTTGGTTTCATTCAATTCAGTGGTTCTCTAAAAGAAGACATTTGTATGTATTGTCCATAAGGTCCTATGTTAACCTAAGTCCCCCGCTAGGGGCCATCTTGGATGATGGATCGACTGCAAAGTAACAACACTTGGTCAACACCTCATAAGGAACATTCATGACATGTTTGGTTCCATTCCATTCACTGGTTCTCTAAAAGAAGACATTTGTATGTATTTCCCATAGGGTCCTATGTTAAACTAAGTCCCCGGGGCCATCTTGGATGATGGATTGACTGCAAAGTAACAACAATTGGTCAGCACCTCATAAGAAACATTCATGCCATGTTTGGTTCCATTCCATTCAGTGGTTCTCTAAAAGAAGACATTTGTATGTATTTTCCATAGGGTCCTATGTTAAACTAGGTCCCCCGCTGGCGGCCATCTTGGATGATGGACCAACTGCAAAGTAACAACATTTGGTCAGCACCTCATAAGGAACATTCGTGCCAAGTTTGGTTTAATTCCATTCAGTGGTTCTCTAAAAGAAGACATTTGTATGTATTTCCCATAGGGTCCTATGTTAAACTAAGTCCCCCGCTGGCGGCCATCTTAGATGATGGATCGGCTACAAAGTAACAACACTTGGTCAGCACCTCATAAGGAACATTCATGCCATGTTTGGTTTCATTCCATTCAGTGGTTCTCTAAAAGAAGACATTGGTATGTATTTCCCATAGGGTCCTATGTTAAACTAAGCCCCCTGCTGGCTGCCATCTTGGATGATGGATCGGCTTGAAAGTAACAACACTTGGTCAGCACTTCATAAGGAACATTCATGCCATGTTTGGTTTCATTCCATTTAGTGGTTCTCTAAAAGAAGACATTTGTAAATATTTCCCATAGGGTCCTATGTTAAACTAAGTCCCCCGCTGGCGGCCATCTTGGATTATGGATCGGCTTCAAAGTAACAACACTTGGTCAGCACCTCATAAGAAACATTCATGCCATGTTTGGTTTCTTTCCATTTAGTGGTTCTCTAAAAGAAGACATTTGTATGTATTTCCCATAGGGTCCTATGTTAAACTAAGTCCCCAGCTGGCGGCCATCTTGGATGATGGATCGGCTTCAAAGTAACAACACTTGGTCAGCACTTCATAAGGAACATTCATGCCATGTTTGGTTTTATTCCATTCAGTGGTTCTCTAAAAGAAGACATTTGTATGTATTTCCCATAGGGTCCTATGTTAAACTAAGTCCCCCACTGGCGGCCATCTTGGATGATGGATCAGCTTCAAAGTAACAACACTTGGTCAGCACCTCATAAGGAACACTCATGCCATGTTTGGTTTCATTCCATTAAGTGGTTCTCTAGAAGAAGTTCAAAATGTAAAAAGTTAACGACGACGACGACGGACGCCAAGTGATGAGAAAAGCTCACATGGCCCTTCGGGCCAGGTGAGCTAAAAATGACCTTAAAGAGTTTGATCATATATATTCGCATTCCGACTTTTTAATTGCCCATTTAATCAGGTGTGTGAATTTTTTCTTAATAAGATTATGAGGCAACGTGGTATATAGGGTAGAAAAATCAAAACTTTGAACAGATTCGAAATCTCCAATATAAGCATGTAATTTATCAAGTACTTCCAACGAAATTTTCGACACTCCAAAAGTAATTAATTCCACTATTTTCGAAGGCCTTATTTAAACAATTTATTACCAGGTTTTTTATTGTACCAAGTGTACTTGTAAGAAGAATAGATAGTATAGTAGTGGAACAATGGCTTGAAGGCGAAATAAATCTATATTTGTAAGGAGTTTTATGCAGCTTCGGAAGCCAGTACATAGTCGGAACTTCATTGTATTTGGTTCTGCTTGTAAAGAGGTAACTCAAAGTTTATGTTTGTTACATATATCATTTTCCGAAAATGGAGTCAGTTGGAATGTTGGTGAATTGGTGATTTCCTTTTGTAGAACATCAATGTAAAATTTACGTCAAACAATAATGATATTGTTAGCAGCCTTATCAGCCGGGACAAAAATCTATTCCTTGGCGAGTTCTTTTAGCTTATGTTTGATACTGGAAATTGGGCTATTATGGTTGTTGTTAGGAGTAAAATGATCTTTAAAATGTTGAATACGTTTATCAATTATGTTCATTACCGAATTAAAAAAACAATCTAATGATTTCTTGTCAGCTTTTTCTCGTTTTATCCATTTAGAGCAGTTAGTACGGAGTGAGTCGTGGATGATGTTACGACACTCATTTCAATAAATAATTGACGGGAGACGATATTTAGGTCCTTTACTGAGGAATGATTTCAACTCTCGGTCACGAACGATGTTAAGGTCTCCTGTTATAACATGGGAACTGGGGCCATAAATGTATTCGGATTTACTGCAATTTCATGAGGTAGGTGTATTGTCACTGATATTAACATCTTTACACACTTCGCTGTAATTAAACACATATTTCCGGGTAGATTTTTTGTAAACATAACAAATGAGAGGGAGTTCAGTATTATCAAAATAGCCAGGAATATGTTCTTTAACAGAATGATCATTAAAAATGCCGTCAATATTTACAAAATCAAAACCTTTATTGACATATTTCATTTTAATAAAATGTTTTTGTGATCTTCAGGGCAATCAATTTTGGGAAACAATTTAGAATAACAATATGCAATTATAATTTGTACGATTTCATACTTAGGACTGCAATATGGAATTGGGTTGCATTCCTCCAAAATTTGATGTAAATTATTAACAGGCAAAGAACAGAGCTTGGTTAATAGATAGTGTCTACCATTGTTTTTTTAAATAGAAATTAGGTCCGAAATATTAGTATTGTTATTACGAAATTTTCTTTGATTGCGATTTATTCTACGCCCATGAGAACGATTTTTACGTACTGTTTTAGAAACTATATCCAAAATGTGAACAGAATCTGTTCTAGATATATTACCAATTCCCATGATATTGTGTTAAGACCGAAAGGATAGACTGTCTGTAATTTTTTAATCCAATTTAATTCAATTATTTTTCGTGATCGTACAAATTTTGAATGAGATTCCCCAGGCTGCTTATTTACTACTTCTAAAGGTTGAACTGTTAAATATTTAAAAGGATGATTGTGCTTCTTAAGGTGTTGATTAATGATACTTTTGAATTTATGGGGTCTTTTAAAACGATAAAGGTGTTCTTGCGTGCGTTTTGATAAATATCATCCAGTTTCACCTACGTACTGAATACCGCATCCTGGTTTGTTTCATGTGAGTAAATATATGATACTGTTAGTTTTTCAAGTGATATCAGTTTCAAAAATTAGGGAAAATGTGCGACCATTAAACATGGACCTTACCGTATTGTTGGTAAAATTCTTTCTTTTTCACTTGAGATAAAATTCGAAAATAACAGCCTAAGCCATGAGAAAATTTCCAACAAATCTATGGCTTGCATGAATTATTTGTCAAATACAACATAGTAAGTTTATATATGAAATGCATGATACCACTTTAAAACCAAATAATGATTCTACAGGGTTATCAATCAGAAGTTCAGCTTATTTTCAGTACATGTGCTTTTTTTCTACATCAATAGTCAGAAATTAATGAAACACATGAAGATTTTTTTTTTAGGGCAAATACATGCGTAAAGTAAACCATAACCTTCCTTTTAGATCAGCTTACCTGGATCAACAGGTACTTTGTTAGAGAATTTCTTTAATTTAGCAACAAAGAATCCATCCAGATTGTGTGTATGTGGATAAAACCTTTTGGTTAACTTCATGTTTGGGTGAAATCTGTGTTTTTCAAATCTGAAAAAAAATCCACATTGTTTATTGGAGTTAATATATCACATGATCTTATCTAAAGCTGTTTTTGAAAGTTTGCGTATTCAATGCTATAAGACTGAATTTTACTGCAGCAGTAACTCAAAAGAAAAGTTACTTTAAAAAAAGACTGATGATCGGACCCTAGGCCTTATGATTACCATAGCGTTCAAAATATTTTTGAGGTTCAGATACGATTCACATGGATTTTATAACTATTCATATAATATATTCAATCATCTATAATTATGGCAAAGTTAAATCTGAAGAAAAATTTGACCTACTAATTGGAACATCATGTATATACTCCGAGCAAATTATATTAAATTTCCATTAAACAAGAATTCTAAAATGTACATTTTTATTTAAAGTTGTTAATCTGAATTGTAATGTTATCTTTGGTATTTTAATGAAATAAGAGTATTTTTACTTTAAATATTCATGTCATCAAATAAAATATCAATAAAATGCTGGGCGCAGCTTGATATGACTGCAGAGGTCAAACCCTGAACAATTAGGGCAAGTATGGACACAACATTCAAGCTTGATACAGCACTGAATTTGGATTGTGATTAAATATTTGACACAGCACAGGTTTTTGACACAGAATGAATGTTGTCTAAGAACTTAAATTTTTTTTAATTTACCTATTCAAACCATATCATTATTATTTGCTTTTATATATAAATCAGAAATAACCAATTTAAAATGGAAAATTTTAAAGAAAAAAAAAGGAAAAAAAAATCCCCCTCCCAAATTTGTTGAACCCCCTTAGGATTCACCACCCCAAACTCAATCCCAGCCTTTCCTTTGTGGTATGGTACCTTGCAGTACAATTTCAGAGAGATCCATACACTTGAACACAAGTTAATATTGTCTGGAAACTAGAAAAATGCTTGTTTTTTGCCCCTTTTTGGCCCCCAATTCCTAAAATTTTGAGGCAATTACCCCCAAAATCGATCCCAGCCTTCCCTTTGTGGTATGGTACCTTGCAGTACAATTTCAGAGAGATCCATACACTTACACACAAGTTATTGTCTGGAAACTAGAAAAATGCTTATTTTTGGCCCCTTTTTTGGCCACTAATTCCTAAAATTTTGAGGCAATTACCCCAAAAAATCAATCCCAGCATTCCCTTTGTGATATGGAACCTTGTGGTACAATGTCAGAGAGATCCATACACTAACACACAAGTTATGTCTGGAAGTTACAAAATTGCTTATTTTTGGCCCCTAATTCCTTAACTGTTGGTACCATAACCCCCAAAACCAATCTCAACCTTCCTTTTGTGGTATTGAACATTATGGTAAAATTTCATAGAGATCCAATTCACTTAATAGAGATCCAATTCACTTAAACTAAAGTTAGAGTGCGAAAACCAATGTGTCTTCGGACGACGACGCTGACGCCAACGTCATACCAATATACGACCGCAAAAAAAAATCGCAGATCAAATAGGGATTAATTTCTGATGGCTTTTAATGTAAATTAAAACACTTCTAGAGACAGCCATATCCAAAGTCCAGGAATCTAAAAAGGCTAAAACACTTACTTTACAAAACCTTCTCTTCCAAAGTCTAAACCTGTTGGAACCAATTTAACATTTCTTTTCTTCAGTGCATAATTAATCACAGCCTCATTTTCTTCAACCTTCAAAATATTTTAATATGCATTAAGTTGACATAAATAGAAGAAGAACAAGCATTCTTAGAGTATTGCATAGCAATACATGATTGATTGATTGGTGTTTAACCCCACTTTCAACACTATTGTGCTATTTCGTGGCAGTCAGCTTTTAATGGTGGAGGAACGTGAAGTGCCCGGAGAGAACCACGACCTTCGGTAGGAAAACTGACAATCCTAGTCAATTAAGAATGGAGTCCAGTGCACCTGCCCCGTGCAGGATTGGAACTCACAACCTCAGTGTTGACAAGCTAATGATACAGTATTTCGACTACTAGTACTTAGACCACTCGGCCACCGAGGCCCCCGCATGGCAATACATAGTCCCCTACCGGTTAAAAATTCATTGTACTGGAACAAAATGCTAACTTGATCTATAACTTGTCATGGTGTAAACTATATAAGAAATATCAAATCAATATCTTCAAGCATGAGGATAAAAAGTGTAGAAAACTGATTATTTGAATGAATTTTCTTAGTCCAGGGACCATAACCTTGCAAAATAATCATCCAAAGCAAACAAAATTCTAATTTGATTTGTAACTTGTCATGGTAAAACTATATATCAAATATCAGATCATTATCTTCAAGAATGACAAATAAAATGCTTCGCTGGGGCGCAGCTTGATACGACCGCAGAGGTCGAACCCTGAACAGTTGGGGCAAGTATGGACACAACATTCAAGCTTGATACAGCTCTGAATTTGGATTGTTATTAAATATTTGACACAGCATAGGTTTCTGACACAGAAAGAATGTGGTCTAAGAACTTGAATTTTTTTAATTTACCTATTATGGTCCAATGTCCAAAATCAAAATACATGGTTAGATTCAGCATATCAAAGAACCCCATATATTCAATTTTTGTTAAAATCAAACAAAGTTTAATTTTGGACCCCAACTTGGACAAACTTGAAAACTTGGCCCATAATCAAAAATCTAAACACATGTTTAGATTCAGCATATCAAAGAACCCCAAGAATTCAATTTTTGCTAAAATCAAACTATGTTTAATTTTGGACCCTTTGGACCTTAATGTAGACCAATTTAAATAAAATGCTTCGCTGGGCCCAGCTTGATACGACCGCAGAGGTCGAACCCTGAACAGTTGGGGCAAGTATGGACACAACATTCAAGCTTGATACAGCTCTGAATTTGGATTGTTATTAAATATTTGACACAGCATAGGTTTCTGACACAGAAAGAATGTGGTCTAAGAACTTCAATTTTTTTAATTTACCTATTATGGTCCAATGTCCAAAATCAAAATACATGGTTAGATTCAGCATATCAAAGAACCCCATATATTCAATTTTTGTTGAAATCAAACAAAGTTTAATTTTGGACCCCAACTTGGACAAACTTGAAAACTGGTCCCATAATCAAAAATCTAAACACATGTTTAGATTCAGCATATCAAAGTACCCGAAGAATTCAATTTTTGTTAAAATCAAACTAAGTTTAATTTTGGACCCTTTGGACCTTAATGTAGACAAATTTAAAAAACGGGACTCAAAATTAAAAATCTAAAAACACGGTTAGATTTGGCATATCAAAGAACCCCAATAATTCAATTTTTGATGAAATCAAACAAAGTTTAATTTTGGACCCTTTTGACCTCAATATGAACCAATTTGATAGCGGGCCCACAAATAAAAAATCTAAATACATGGTAAGATTCAGCATATCAAAGAACCCCATATATTCAATTTTTGTTGAAATCAAACAAAGTTTAATTTTGGACCCCAATTTGGACCAACTTGAAAACTGGGCCAAAAATCTAAAATCTAAATACATGTTTAGATTCAGCATATCAAAGAACCCCATATATTCAATTTTTGTTGAAATCAAACAAAGTTTAATTTTGGACCCCAACTTGGACCAACTTGAAAACTGGTCCCATAATCAAAAATCTAAACACATGTTTAGATTCAGCATATCAAAGAACCCCAAAAATTCAATTTTTGTTAAAATCAAACTAAGTTTAATTTTGGACTCTTTGGACCTTAATGTAGACCAATTTAAAAAACAGGACCCAAAATTAAAAATCTAAATACACGGTTAGATTTGGCATATCAAAGAACCCCAATAATTCAATTTTTGATGAAATCAAACAAAGTTTAATTTTGGACCCTTTTGACCTCAATATGAACCAATTTGATAGCGGGCCCACAAATAAAAAATCTAAATACATGGTAAGATTCAGCATATCAAAGAACCCCATATATTCAATTTTTGTTGAAATCAAACAAAGTTTAATTTTGGACCCCAATTTGGACCAACTTGAAAACTGGGCCAAAAATCTAAAATCTAAATACATGTTTAGATTCAGCATATCAAAGAACCCCATACATTCAATTTTTGTTGAAATCAAACAAAGTTTAATTTTGGACCCCAACTTGGACCAACTTGAAAACTGGGCCCATAATCAAAAATCTAAACACATGTTTAGATTCAGCATATCAAAGAACCCTAAGAATTCAATTTTTGTTAAAATCAAACTAAGTTTAATTTTGGACCCTTTGGACCTTAATGTAGACCAATTTAAAAAACGGGACCCAAAATTAAAAATCTAAATACACGGTTAGATTCGGCATATCAAAGAACCCCAATAATTCAATTTTTGATGAAATCAAAGAAAGTTTAATTTTGGACCCTTTGGACCTCAATGTGGACCAATTTAAAAACAGGGCCCAAAATCCAAAAACTTAATACACGGTTAGATTCAGCATATTAAAGAACCCCAAGAATTCAAGAATAAAACCCCATTGAAATTGATCAAGAAATAAGCAATTTATATGAAGTATCTTCTTTTGCACAATACTGTGCAATTGAATATTTCTTGCTATTGCGCAATACTGTACAATTGACAATTTCTTGCTATTGTGCAATATTGTGCTATTGGATATTTCTTGCTATTGCGCAATACTGTTAAATTGAAGATTTCTTGCTATTGCGCAATACTGTGCAATTGAAGATTTCTTGCTATTGTGCAATACTGTGCAATTGAAAATTTCTTGCTATTGCACAATACTTATTATATAATAATTTACACATCCTGTTTGGTGTTTATCTCCTACCATATCATTATTATTTGCTTTTAAATATAAATCAGAAATAACCAACTTAAAATGGAAAATTTTAAAAGAAAAAAAAAAAGGAAAAAAAGAAAAAAAAAAAAAAAAAAAATCCCCCCCCCAAATTTTTTGAACCCCCTTATGATTCATCACCCCCAAACTCAATCCCAGCCTTCCCTTTGTGGTATGGTACCTTGCAGTACAATTTCAGAGAGATCCATACACTTGAACACAAGTTATTGTCTGGAAACTAGAAAAATGCTTATTTTTGGCCCCTTTTTGGCCCCCAATTCCGAAACGTTTCAGGCAATTACCCCCAAACTCAATTCCAGCTTTCCCTTTGTGATATGGAACCTTGTAGTACAATTTCAGAAATATCCAAAGACTTACACACAAGTTATTGTCATGAAACTAGAAAAATGCTTGTTTTTTGCCCCTTTTTTGGCCCCTAATTCCTAAAATTTGAGGCAATTACCCCCAAAATCAATTACAGCCTTCCCTTTGTGATATGGAACCTTGTGGTACAATGTCAGAGAGATCCATACACTTACACACAAGTTATTGTCTGAAAGTTACAAAAATGCTTATTTTTGGCCCCTAATTCCTTAACTGTTGGTACCATAACCCCCAAAATCAATCCCAACCTTCCTTTCGTCGTATTGAACCTTATGGTGAAACTTCATGGAGATCCATTCACTTAAACTAAATTTAGAGTGCGAAAACCAATGTGTCTTCGGACGACGCCGGACGACGACGACGACGCCAACGTCATACCAATATACGACCAAAAAATTTTTAATTTTTGCGGTCGTATAAAAAAAGGTGTGGGAAAACTGATTATTTGCATGAATTTTCCAAGTTCTAGGACCATAAATCTGAACAAAATTATCAGACAGGAACAAAATTCAAACTTGATCTGTAACTAGTGGTGAACAAACTATTCACAAAATATCAAATCAATATCTCCAAGCATGACAAAAAAAGTGTGGAAAACTGATTACTTGCATGAATTTTCGAAGTCCAAGGACCATAACTCTGCACAAAATCATCAGACCGGAACAAAATTAAAACTTGATCTGTAACTGGTCATGATAAAACTATACACTAAACATCAAATCAATATCTTCAAGCATGAAGAAACAAGAATGTGTCCATAGTACACAGATGCCCTACTTGCACTATCATATTCTATGTTCAGTGTACCGTGAAATTGGGGTCAAAACTCTAATTTGGCATTAAAAATAGAAAGGTCATCTCATAGGGAACATGTGTACTAAGTTTCAAGTTGATTGGACTTCAAATTCATCAAAAACTACTTTGACCAAAAACTTTAAACTGAAGCGGGACAGATGGACGAACGAACGGACACACAGACAGAAAAACATAATGCCCCTCTACTATCGTAGGTGGGGCATAAAAAAGTGTGGTAAACTGATTTGCTGGACTGACTGATGGACAGACAGACAGACAAACCGAGTGCAAACCTATAGTCCCCTTCCGACTTTTTCGGTAGGGGACTAATAAATCTAAAATTATGCGAATATAATTTTTTTTTTAAGTGTTTTTAAGTTCCAAGACAATACAATTTACACAGTAATAGAATTCCCTTTGGTTGTATTAAAATTTGTTCAAATTCATAATTATGCATAAATTGAGGCAGAAAGATAGGCCTGAATTGCATATTTGCATTAAAGTAAAATTCTTACTTTTTCTTAATCTATACAAACATTTAAGAGTCAAATTACTACTCAAAAATATTTTCTATTATAAACAGAAGCCAAACTATGATGATATACAAAATATCAATGATGAAAATAGGATAACATTATATCTAAGCATAAAAAACAAGAAGTTGCCCAAGTTGTGCTTAGCCCCATATATAATTCTACGTATCACAGAACAGAAGGTAAGTGTCTGACAAATCCCAGAACTGCATACATGTTACAAGTCATTACTGTCAAGCTAAAGACCAAATATGAATTCTTTCTCTCCAGTAATATTGGAGAAATGTGTGATGAAAATATCTTGTTCATTCAACATGTTGAAAAATTCAAAGTATCAGCAAGAAGAAAGCAGGTGTCTGCTACATTGAAAAAGTGTTTTAAAACAGTACATTTCATCACTGTCAAGCTGCTAGTCAAATATGAAGTTCTTCTTTTCAGTAGTACCAGAGAAAAGTGATGGAAATATTTTTTGGATGAACTGAAAGAAAAGTTGATTGCAATATAGCCTAGACTCTTCAGAGTGATGGTATAATATTTACCAGAATAGAACATGTAGAATAAACAATATATCCTCCGGTTGATGATTTTGCATCACAACTATCTATTGCAGCTAGAATTAACTCCCTTTGAAGATGGGAACATCTCTGTATATCTTTTTCATCCTGAAAAAAATCAAAAACTATACTATACAATGCTTAAACTGTATTGGAAAATTTTAAAACATTCCCAAAAGAAATAAATTGTTTTTAGATCTATTTTTTAAATGCATGTAAAAATATGTAATAAATCTGAAAATAGAAATAATACTTCAATTTATACCGAAATTTGTCTGTGCATATTTATTTTCGAAAGCTACAAATGTATTTCCTTATTTCTATTTTTATCTTTCCTGCAAGCAGTTCTGTTTTAGAAAATTTGAAATAATATTTTTTGGTGTACCATTTATGTTTGGTAAATGAATTAACTTGTCAGAATTGTATGTGTTCATATGGGAGATAACTCTGAAAAAAATTGATACACAAGATTTGGTAATTTTTCATTACAAGACATTGCTTTCTAAAAGATTTGAATGGGTTGTTTACAAACATAATTTAAAACTAGAAAGTTATAAAGCTAAATTAAAAATGATTTTTTCTATGTTGTAGCAAAAGAACAAACCTTATTAATTTTAACTTCTACATCTTTGGCTATCACACCAGTTCCACTGCATGGAGCATCCAATAGTACCCTGTCAAAACCTTTCATTATCTGTCAAATAAAATAATAAGTAACATAACCTAACCTTTACTGTGTCACATTAAAACTTTCCTCATTTATTTTTAAAGATAGTGTACTATACTACAATAACAGTGTTCTCCCCAGGATTTTTAGATAGCACCAGGGTAATCAAGGCGACAAATTAGATATATGCATCAAACATAATTTGCATTGCGTCGCAACTCTTTTCCTCTATCCTCCTTAAGGTTAGTTCCCATAGACTTCTCTCTTTTTTATTACCTTTTATCCATTTGAGTTTTTCTTTTCTTTTGTACTGTGTTTTGTTGACATTATTTCAGTGTAAGAAATTATATTCTCAATTCAATCATAAGCATGAAGAGAAATGTGAATTAATATTACTACATGTATTTGTAATACTAGGATGGTTTGTAACATCTTAAAAGGCATATTATGGTTGGTACAATGCATATTGATGATGATGGGGGTTATTAACAACCCTTGACTGGCTATAAAGTCCTCGCATGATTGGTAAGAAATGTCTACTCCACCCAGTATTCCCAGGCGGTCACCAAGTACTAACTGTTGGTTGGTACAACGTCTATATACTACTGGTTAGATTTCATTGGGAGTATTGATGATGGGAGTTTTTAACAACCTTGACTGGCTATACAGCCCTCACACAGTCGGCCAGTATTGGAGATATTACCTCTCATTTACAATGTATTTTTTCTGTATGTATACAGAATTTTAATTTTTATTAAATTACATACCATTTTAATAGTTAGCAATTATTTGTTTACTTATAAATATTCCTATGAGTAAACATATTTCTAACATGAGAATTTCAATATAGCCAAAAATAGGGGAAGTAACTCATTATGGATTTATTATGAAAACGTTGTTTTTGCTGTTTAAAAAATACTCATCATACCTTTGGGTGAAATGACAGAACCGTTTCAAAAGTACCCAGACTGTGACTGTCAATAGAAGTCACTTTAGGGTCAAAACTAATTGTGGCTGGCGTATAAAACTCATAAAATCAACTGCCAAACTGGAAGTCAACCAGCGGTCAAAAACGAAAATTTATTTGTTGTAAAAGAGACTCATTAAAAGAGACAGGATATATGACGCTAGCTTGGACAAATTGCTTATACATAATAAAAATATGCATGATTGTCAATTATTATTATTTAATGGACCAACAGTTAATCTTTTATCAAGTATAAACAATTTTTTGGCATGTGTACAACTATCGGCAGTTAGTTTCCAAATTAAAATTTCCAATTACATCACTGGTCTAGTCTTGGGTGGTGAGTGAAGCCATAAAATTGTTGATTGACGTCATAAATTATCTCCATATTAATTAAAACATAAATGAAACAAGTTACAAGTACTAATTTATTGATTAAATCCAATCAGCAACAGGTAACCCTCATCAGGTAAATCAATCACCTGTTGTAAGTATCAATTCACCTGTAATTTTATACCACACAGATAAGATTTTAACAAGTAGCAATTTTACCGAATTAACAATTTTTTACAGAAAATTATAGCACCACAGAAGAGAAATATAGGACAGCGCGATGACTGATAGGACCATGCTCGGAAATTATACCGCACAGGTCCGTGATGCTTAAAGGGCCTGGGGAGAACACTGCAATAATCTGGACAAACATACACTACAATCCCTAGTAGTACAATAATCTGGACAAACATACACTACAATCCCTAGTAGTACAATAATCTGGACAAACATACACTACAATCCCTAGTAGTACAATAATCTGGACACACATACACTACAATCCCTAGTAGTACAATAATCTGGACAAACATACACTACAATCCCTAGTAGTACAATAATCTGGACAAACATACACTACAATCCCTAGTAGTACAATAATCTGGAAAAACATACATTACAATCCCTAGTAGTACAATAATCTGGACACACATACACTACAATCCCTAGTAGTACAATAATCTGGACACACATACACTACAATCCCTAGTAGTACAATTATCTGGACAAACATACACTACAATCCCTAGTAGTACAATAATCTGGACAAACATACACTACAATCCCTAGTAGTACAATAATCTGGACAAACATACACTACAATCCCTAGTAGTACAATAATCTGGACAAACATACACTACAATCCCTAGTAGAAGTATAATAAGGTTACAATATATATAACAATGAGTTCTATGCATTAAAATGTTTGCTAAATGCTATGACAATGAATATATATTTCTTACGTCTAAATATTGAAAGCAAATTGAAGTATGCCAATCTGAAGCAATAAAGATAGATATATTGACAAACAGATATTCATTTGTAATGGTTTTTTTTATAACATGAAAACACATAAAATAACTGTCTTTCAATGGTCTGAGATACAGACAGACTATTTACTGCCTACTGATTAATTCAAAAGTTCTTTATCTTTTATCCCAACTATAATAGCAAAACAGACTGATTTACATTATGCTGATAAAGATGATCACCAATCAGGTTATAATTTACTTCTGATGCTAACTAACAGTGGGGTAAATTCTGCCATCATAATGACTAATGACTGTATTTGTGATGCCCATACGATGGATGTTCCCAACAATAGCTAACTTACTGTGGGGTAAATTCTGCCATCATAATGACTAATGACTGTGTTTGTGATGCCCATACGATGGATGTTCCCTACAAATAGCTAACTTACAGTGGGGTAAATTCTGCCATCATAATGGCTAATGACTGTATTTGTGATGCCCATACGATTGATGTTCCCTACAAAAGCTAACATACAGTGGGGTAAATTCTGCCATCATAGTGGCTAATGACTGTATTTGTGATGCCCTTACTTTGGATGTTCCCTACAATAGCTAACTTACAGTAGGGTAAATTCTGCAATCATAATGACTAATGACTGTATTTGTGATGCCCATAGGATGGATGTTCCCTACAATAGCTAACTTACAGTGGGGTAAATTCTGCCATCATAATGACTTATGACTGTATTTGTGATGCCCATACGATGAATGTTCCCAACAATAGCTTTGGCTCTGTCTTTATTAGCATCATTTGCAAATATTGTACCAGTATTCTTCATAATAGCAGCTGGGGATAAAAAATGAAAATTTTAGGCAATAAAATACTGATATTTTCTGGAAAGCAATTAAAATATTTTTGTTACACATAAATATTTGTATAAACAACACATGAGTATATCTTAAAAGTGCTGTGTGTTATTATTATTGATAATATGACTCTAAGAATGTAACACAGATATGATGTAATAAAAATAATAGCTCTGCCATGTCAATGGACAATTTTGGACATGTTGTTATTTTTCAGACAGATATATCTTTTTTAAAACTAGAAGTGTTTTTCAAGAGAGTAAAAGATCATACCATAGAGATGAACAATAAGGCAATGTTAGTTGCATCATAGTATAGCTCTGGCATTTTCACATGGTATAGTTTAAAAGGCATTTTTTAAATCAAAAAGTTGCATGTTTTGTCATACTAAGCATACAGATACCCCACTTGTAATAGGAATTAAGGAAAACAGTAAGCAGGTGTCTGAAAAACACTCACACATTACAACACTTTCAAGATGATGACCACTTATAGTCATTCCATTTTAGTAGTTCCTTTCTCAGTCAAGAATCATACAGAAAGATTAAAGCAAAATCTAAGAACATGGCCATAAAAGATCTAAGTAGATTATTCTGACAGGTTTAACTATACCTTTGAAGTTTTAAGTTATTTTGGGGATATTTGTGTGGCTTAAATTTATGAACAGTACAAGATAGTTCTAAGGGCTGTTCCATTAAAACACACATGGTACCCAGGGAAGGCACTTTAAAAATGGGGTAACCACCAATAGAGGCAAATTAAAATTTCACTTACATTTCCACTATGCAAAAACAAAGATGACACCCACCCATAGTTGAGATTTGGAAGTGCCTTCCCTGGGTCCCATGTATGTTTTTATGGAACAGCCCTAATTTTGTTATAACTCACCAATATATGTTGTTTTACCACCGGGAGCAGAAGCCATGTCCAATACTCTTTCATTTTCCTGTGGAGCTAGAGCCATCACTGGTAGAAAACTAGAGCCTCCCTGTAATATGTAGTGACCTGCTAAATATTCTGGTGTAGCACCTGTAAAATATAACCACAATATATCATTAAGGTGGAAATATTCACAGCAACAACTTGAAAGAAGGACTGAAATACTGCCTAACTAAGTATCCTTGCCTTGATTGTCAAATTAATATCTTGCAAGATAAGGATAAGCTTTAATAAGAGTGTAAGTTGAGGTACACACTTCAACTATTCATTTATCCAACAATCTGATTAAGTGCAAAGCAGCCTTACTTATACTCATTTTTCCATAATTCAAATTTAACTGTGGGTTAATTTTTATAAGGTCCGATTAAACAATTATAGAAACTTAAAGAATATTCATTCATTACCTAGTGGAACCTGTGAGTCATATACAACCAGACCAACTTTGGACCATTTACCAATAGGATCTAAATTGACACCTCTGTTAATTAATGCTTGGGCCAAGTCTCTTCTCCTTGTTTTTAAAGTATTAGTTCTAATCGTAACTGGTCGCTGAACTTCATTTGCCTCCAAAAACTCATGTATCTGTGAAGAAACAGCAAAATAAGTACTGGAAAAAAATCACAGTAATGGCCTATCATGAACAATGTAATGCAAACATAAAATAATAACAGATATTGGTATAATATACAAGAGAAATAAATATAATTACTTGCATGTAAATTCAGAAATTATTGCAAGGTTTTAATCAAAGTGAATAATGCGACTGAGTGAGTATCACAGTAATAAGAACTCTCATTCGGATACCTGATAAACGTTAACTCTATGCTGAATTTCCTGAAATCGCAATAATTAATCTCACTTTTTTGCCCATTCTTCAAAAATCGCAATAATAAATTCACACAATCATGTCTGAATTAACAGTGTATTAAAAAAAAGTTTAAAAAACAAGAGAAAAAAGTTTTTTTTCTACAATTTGTGTAATAAGTATCCAGGGGAGACAACCAGAGACATTATGCTTTTTAGGGGTAAATTCAGTAAATAAATATACGTCATCAGGGACCGCCCATTTGGGGGAGAGCTTTCTGTATAAAACTGAAGTCATGTGCTCTTCTGATTGGTAGATAATGTTTGTAATAAATATTTTTTGATAGATGGATAAAAACTAGAGTTGAAAAAAAATAAAAAATAAATGCTGAATGTACTAAATTTTTTTACTACAGGGTTGAAAAGTAATGGGGGTCAGTGAAGGAATTAAGTGCGAATCTACAGTGTTTGTAAACAAGGCCATGTGAATGCCCAAAAATGCCGCATGACCCTATGTTTTTATTGTTGCAAATGATAGGGCTACATTTGTACTTTCATGAATGATATATGAAATTTTCTAATTTCTAAAGGTAAATCAGGTATAAATTTAATTCAAGACATAGATTAGCATTACAGTCAATGGGAGATTTTTTACTGAATTTACCCCTTTAACAGTACACTGATAATTTTAAAACCTTTTTTAACATCCTTAGATGAAGACATTCAAAGCAGCCAGTTGTATTTCTATTAGTTTCTGTTAATTGACAAACCAAAAAAATTCACAAAATTTTGCTTATTTTCAAAGCATAACATAAGTGCTTAATTTTGGCAAGTTTGTGGTATCTAAGCTGCATTATTCTTCTGTTTTTCTAAGATAACTATAAATTTTAGATATTCATCATTCATTTCACAAACTATATTATGATATGCAGAAATAATTTAGTTACAAACGATTTAACTTGAGACACTTTTGTTTGATGATTATCTGATAATAAATTTAGTAATTCAATTCAAATTGAACACATCCTGCCTAGCTTTAAATAAACTATGTAAATTTTCTTTCTTTATATACATAAGAGTTTTCATCTTCTACAATTTATCAAACAAAATCGAATTCTGATAATTTCCAAGTATTATTAGAATTGTTACCTCAAGGGGGAATAACTGCATCAGTTTTTCCATCAGGAAGTCATTATAACTGTAGTAAGTACAAAGATCTTTTCTCAGCTGACCGATATATTCTTGTCTGCTCCTAAAATATGGTCAAGTTTTGATATAATTAAACATTTCCTGTATACACATAACCATATAGTTAAAACAAAAAAGCTACATCAGGCTACAACTGAATAACTCAAGCAACTGTAAACAAGGTCTAAAACTTTTCAAAAACAACTAGGGAATATGTTTGCATCTTTCCATATTCAAAGAAGTTATTAACTTGTATCATGAATTTTCAGAGGGTTTATTTTTTTACACTAAATTTTTTTCAATAATTGCATTCAGTTGTACGTCTTCATAATTTCAAAGTTTTAGATTGCACTTCAAAATAATAAGTGAAAAAGAAAAATTTATTCAAAAATTTCTAAGGAAGACAATTTCTGATATAGCTCATTGAGCTTATTGAACTATAATTACAACACATACAGATTTGCCGGCGCTGGACGATTGCGCTTTTTCATAGGACATTTATGCTTTTTTTGATGGACATTTGCGATTTTACAATATTTGCTTCTTATGACTTCCCTCCTATTTTACCCGGGCTTAGGACCGGTAGGTTTGACCTATATAGTTATCAGAGTTAAAGTTAAACTTTCATTATGGTTAAAAGTTTAATAGTTATTTCATAGCACATTCGTGTTTAAAAGTCATTTCATAGCACATTGATATGTTATCTATAGCTAAAAGTAAACATTCTAAAGACATAAAGACGAGTTTAGTCATCACAGGTCAGTTTTCGCTTGATATATGAAGCCTAGGGAATGAATAAATATAGCTCTTGTAATCTGTCCTGACTTATATTACGCCCACAATTCAAATAAATATTCTAGTTTCTCTTTCTCAAATCTTGACTGAGGTCCCTGTTCATCAATATAACGAATTTGAATGTTACATATATTAACTGACTGTTGTTCAATGATAAAAATCCATTGTGACATATACATTTTTTTCCTTTGCTAGTCTATAACTTTAAAACTCTATGTTTAAGACTGTGCAACAATTCAGGAAAATGGCAGTTGTTATTTTATAGTTCGTTTCTGTGTGTGTTGCATTGTCGTTTGTTTTTTGTTCACTTCAGTGTTTCTGTTGTTTCGTTGTTTTCCTCTTATAGTTGATGTTTCCCTCGGTTTTAGTTTGTAACCCGGATTTGTTTTCTCTCAATCGATTTATGACTTTCAAACAGCAGTATACTACTGTTGCCTTTATTTATCAATGTGAACAAACTAACCACAAATATAAGTTGAATTTATTTATGTAATGATTACAACTCATTAAAACTGAGAATCCACTTGAATTTCTGTGAAATTTTTACATGACAGTGAAGACTGGCAAATATTTTTTTATAACAGCTATTTCTTTCTCTGGTTAATAAATACAAACCTTCCTTCAGTTCTCCTTTCTTTAAAGTCGGCCAAGACACCCATGACTTCTTTTATCCTGTTCTGCACCAGTGTAATATCTGGAGGCTGATTTGGTGAAAAATGTTAAGGAATATATTCTATGCTTTAATATGAAACTAAACAAAATTAAAGTAAAAGCCTCATTTTTAAATAAGGATATTTACTTTGTATTGTCATTTATCTGTATTTTCACACATCAAAAGTAAATCATAAAGATTTGTATAAATTATATGATGAAGTTTTATGTAACAGACTACATGTATGTAAAGTTAAAAAAAAAAGAGAAACATCAAATATATACAACAGCAAAAATGCTCCGTCTGGCAAACTAAATAATTACCTTGCTTTATAAAATCTTTGTATTACTGTTAATTCAGAAATTATTGCGTCCACTTATTATTGCAATTTTTGAAAAATGGACAAAAATGAGAGATTATTTATTACGATCTCAGGAAAATCTGCATACAGATATATGTATCAAATATCAGAATGCGAGTTCTAATTATTACGATATTCACCCAGTTGCATTATTTGCATTAATAAAAACCTCGCAATAATTTCTGAATTTACAGTACTTAATTGCAAAATTATTAGACAGAGACATAAGATCCATCCTGTTCAGCTTTTACCTATTCTATTTATTATCACTATTTTACGAAATTTTCCTTTGATCTTACTGACTGGTAATTTCCTTTCTCGGCACAGTAGAGTGATATGAAAAATTATCGCTAGAAACTAAGGGCGCACGTGCCCGTTGTCAATGAAATTAACAACATCGTCATAGGTAAAATAGCAAAAAACAGAACATTGGTCATCTCAACTTGATTGCTTTTCTCACTTTCGCCGTATCGGCTCAAGCGAGAAAATCAATCTCGTGGAGATGATCAACGATAATCTATAATTATATTGTTTAGCTTTTTATAATAATAATAAAAAAATATAACGGGTAATATTTTGACTTCTAAAGACATACTCAATTTAACATTTCAAACTGTACATTAAATGCAAAGAAGAAATGTCAGCCTACATAGACTCCGAGCTGAACAGTCTTTACTCCTCAAAGTTGTATGCTTAGCAAAGAAGCAGAATGTATAACAATTCAAAGGTCACTGATCTGATCAAGCCAGGAAACAAAGCCACATTCTCACATACTAAAGGATGTATTCTAGTAGAAACTACCAATGGTACTCTTAGAAGAAGAAAACAATAGATATATTATGATCATGATAGCTTACATGTGCTGCCTTCTAACATTGTCTAAAAGCTTTAAAAAGAAAAAAACACAATAAAATGTATGAATGATATGCGAAGGGTCAAGCTATTTTAATCCTCAGTAAACATATAACAAATATATACATTTATTACATTGAAGTAAGTTATTTATCCCAATCTATCCTACAGATCTAGGTTCATGCAACTATGAAATCTGTCAGTGAAAATATCAAAACTGTGTTCACAAGTAAACAAAATAATTGAGAGTATAAATATGTAAACTGTTGTCAAGTTTTAAACCAAAACTCTTAACTGACCTTGAAAAATGTTCACTAGGTAACACAGATTAACTCAACATTGGAATACAAGTCAACAAATATCATCCTTTAACACTTTGTAAAACAAATCACAATGATTAGAAAATCTAACATGTGACTATACCTACTTAAAAACAATATTCACTTGTGAGTTTATTTAAAAAAAACATTTTAATACAAACTTAATCTAATGGGACATCCCATTTCTGATCTGAATTACCTTACCTAAAATGGAACTGCCCCATGGAATAAACCATTCCTAGACAAATCTATTTTAACATCAGGGACATACCATTTCTGGCCTGCTATACCTTGCTTAAAATGAAATGAACTGTTCTAGAATAAACCATTCTCAGCCAGGTCTTTTACAATATAAAATGGATTTTTTTTCTAAAAAAACATTCTCTTCAGAATTTTACCCGTTGTAAATTGGACTTTCTAGCTTTAATGAGATTATAAAAATGTTTTTTTTATAAAAGTTAAACTACTTTTCTAAAGTCTATCAAAACTATATATCCACAAAGGAAACTATCATAGACTTATTCAGTATCAATTTGTGCTAGATTCAGGTAAATTTTCAGATGAAACTTCACACAGAAAATCAATATAATCTTTTTTACTTTAAACAGTAAAGAAAACCAGAGCTTCTTAAAACCTATCAGAAATTTTACTGGGAGAGTCTTGAATCTTTGTCACAAAGAGACTAAATCCAAACTATGAAATATAGTAAGTAAGCTACATAAAAAAAGGATATCCCATTGTTCAAATCAGAAAAAGTATACACACTTCATACACATTTTAACAACAAAATGAGAAGTAGCATAATATTGAACCTACTTTAATAAGTTTTTTCCCAAATAATCTATGCAGGTATCATAGCTACAGGCATGTCAATAATAGCCGAAAAACCATGGAAATAATTTACACTTTGAGAAGTGCCCTTTTTAATAGTAAGACAGTATATCATTACAATGGGCAAAGGCTTGGACAAAATAAGAGGAAAAGGATATTTTCTTGTTCCACTTCTTGGCCACTTGGTAATGTGAATTTCTCTGTCTGTGTAATGTTGGTCATCAGTTCCTCTTCAGCAAGTTTTCTGGTAAAAAAAAAGATGAAAACATAATCTAAAGCCACAAAATCAATTCTAACAAAAGGAATTTACTATGACATTCAGAACAAGAAATTATTGTAACAGGATGCTGTTACGAAGTCTCCCAAACGAAGCTCCCATAATTCGTAATTCCCAGGGTCGCCTGACATTGGGCAAAGTCCAGTGAAAATTGGTTTGGTCCAGTAAAGTTATATGCATTAGTGATGCCTTGGGACTAACCCTGTATATCATTCAAATCATCTTGGCATGACAAACCAGAATATATATGGTTTAGGGGTGGGGATCTCGACCATTTACAAGATATTAGAACTTTCTCAAATGGTAGGGGGTCGGGATGACCCCTGGGGACTAACCTTGTATATCATTCAAACCATCGTAGCATGACAAACCAGAATATATATGGTTTAGGGGTGGGGATCTTGACCACTTACAAGATATTAGAACTTTCTTAAATGGCATGGGGTGGGGGTGACCCCTGGGGACTAACCCTGTATTACATTTGATGTGCTTTATCATGACAAACCAGAATATATATGGTTTAGGGGTGGGGATCTCCACCATTTACAAGATATTAGAACTTTCTCAAATGGCAGGGGGTCAGGATGACCCCTGGGGCCAAACCATGTATATCATTCAAACCATCTTAGCATGACAAACCAGAATATATATGGTTTAGGGGTGGGGATCTCGACCATTGACAAGATATTAGAACTTTCTCAAATGGCAGGGGGTCGGGATGACCCCTGGGGACTAACCCTGTATATCATTAAAACCATCTTATCATGACAAACCAGAATATATATGGTTTAGAGGTGGGGATCTCGACCATTTACAAGATATTAGAACTTTCTCAAATGGCAGGGGGTAGGGATGACCCCTGGGGACTAACCCTGTATATCATTCAAACCATCTTAGCATGACAAACCAAAATATATATGGTTTAGGGGTGGGGATCTTGACCACTTACAAGGTATTAGAACTTTCTTAAATAGCAGGGGGTGGGGGTGACCCCTGGGGACTAACCCTGTATTTCATTTGATGTGCTTTATCATGACAAACCAAAATATATATGGTTTAGGGGTGGGGATCTCAACCATTTACAAGATATTAGAACTTTCTCAAATGGCAGGGAGTCGGGATGACCCCTGGGGACTAACCCTGTATATCATTCAAACCATCTTAGCATGACAAACCAAAATATATATGGTTTAGGGGTGGGGATCTTGACCACTTACAAGGTATTAGAACTTTCTTAAATAGCAGGGGGTGGGGGTGACCCCTGGGGACTAACCCTGTATTTCATTTAATGGGCTTTATCATTTAGAACATTTTCAATTAAAAAGATTGTGTCTATCACAAACGGTTTTCAATTTATAATCATTTGAAAATTTTTTAAAATAAAATCCCATAGGGTTCTATAGTAAAACCCTCTTTTCTTTTTGCCCCTCAAAGTACCCCTTTATAAACCCCATTGCACAAACAAAACCCTGATTGCACCACTAGACATGTTAGTCTAACATATTGCGAAACCCTAAGTTAATCTGACAAGAGGTTTTGGAGAACGGGTGCGGACAAGTTCAAATTTAAAAGCGGCGGAAGAATGTTAGTCTAACATATTGCGAAACCCTAAGTTAATCTGACAAGAGGTTTTGGAGAACGGGTGCGGACAAGTTCAAATTTAAAAGCGGCGGAAGAAGAAGAAGAATAATAATAATAATAAGAACTGAGCAAAAACAATAAGTCTTCCCAAACTTCGTTTGGGAGACTTAATAAAAGAATAACAAGAAGTCTCACAGAAAATAATTAAGTCACCTATTAAATCTTGACTTTAGAAATGTGAGACTCTCTCGTATAGCAAAATGTAAAAACATATGTGATTTATAAATTGACAAAAATCTTTTTTTGCTATGGACTACTCACTCGTACATCTTGCTGCAATGGCTACTGGGACTATTTACATAATTGTCTTCCACTACATACTAGTAAATTTTTAATTTATCAGTAAACTTTCTGTTTACAGTATAATAGATTGGTATGTTTGTTAAATGGTCTGCAGAAGTATTTTGAATCTACATCTGGTTCTTACCATATAGAAACATGAATGGGAAGTGTTTACAATAGTTTACACTGGCCCTTTTAGCCCAATAAAACTTCAATGGTGTTTTATGTATAGCTAATAGAACTTATTGCTTTCAAAGTATAGTACTTGAGATTTCTTCGTGATTACGTTGAAGATGACTGGAAGCGAGGTGAAAGGACTAGAGCAATGTGGAACAGCTAAAATCCATAGAGGAAGCAAGTATAATTGATGTATTGTAAAATTGTCAAGGGTTATCACTTACTTGTCTCTTGCCTGCTTTTTCGCTAACTTTTTGGCTTTCTTCTCAACAGGCAACATCTACAAAGAAAATGAAATGATTTGTCTACTGTTATGAGTTTGTTGACAAAACCTACTGAAGTTACCTAACTGAATAATCTGAATAATACAACAAGAAATTGACTAACCACTAGAAAATGTGTTTAATCCTTAAAACTCTAAGCATCAATTAACCATGAATATGATCAAGAAATGGAATTCATTAACATGTTTTTTTTTCTACCACTGTTTTTTATTACACATTTTTACTGATGTGTGTAAAAGACAAAACACTCACATCTTCATCATCCTCATCTGAATTCTCATTATCTTCATCACTTTCATCATCTGATGATCCATCATCACTAAAATCATCTGGAATATCATCTTCACTGTCATCATTGTCTGACTGAAAAGCAAGTTTATAGCATATATATAGTTCTTCAGATATTACTATTATTGATAGATGTTAAACAAGGAGTACACAACTACATGCTGTGTGGTGTTCCTAGAACAAGGAAACTTTCTCATAATATTATTACTTTACAGAATAATGTAAGACCTATATAATTTATCTCTACATAGCACCTTCCATATCATATATCATAAGGCATGAAAACAATGCCTTTTCTTTCAGGATATATTTATACATACAAAAGTCTAAAGAAAACAACTATCCTGCAAACTTTTATAGGTATCTGATCGTCAAATTGACCATAGTGCACAAACATGAAGAATTATACACGTGCACCGATACTGATAAAAAGATAGTCGATAATGAATAACATGTTATCATGGTATTGAATGAAAGGTTTGAAATTTGTTCTATTTTTCATGTATCACCTACATCAGCCATTCCAGATTTAGCTGGTTTTAACCAGTCCTTATTGTGATCTGTGTAACCAGTTACTTCCCCTGAATCAGATACATCATTTTCTGAGTCATCTTCTTCCATGTCACTTTCATCTGAAATGAAAAAGAATTTTCTTTAATCATGGTGATCCTAGATATTTAATACAAGTAATTTTTCTATGTATTAACATCAGAACATTTTAGCAACAGAATGAAAACTTTTTTCATTATCAATGAGAACAAAACTGTTTCTATATACATGTATAAGGATGGTTACTGGGTATTCAAATATTCTCTAAACGTACCATGTCAAAAAAATTATTTTGATTCAGAACCATGGTAGTATTATTTCTCGACAGTTTAGTATATACAATAGATTTAAACAACTATTGGGATCGATTTTTTAATGCTCATTTGTTTGTTAATTTATTTCTTAAAACTGCAAGCCTGTTAAATCCTTATTTTTATAGGTCATCAACTAAAACTATTAAAGTGGACCAAACATCATCTCCCCAAAGCGATGATTCCTCAATTACAGAATTTTCAGTGATTCTTGGTTGGTTTTTGCCTTAAATTTCTATTTCTAGTAATTTTGGCCATCTAAGGTCTGTGAGAACTTAGGTCATATTGCTGAAAAATCACCTTTCACATGAATAGAAAATAATTAGAAAAAATAAAATTATAGCAGACAGAAGAGCAATGTTAGCCCCTTTTAACCTTCTGCCAAGTTTTGGTGGAAGTAGATATAATTATCATGATTCATCAGAATTAATGTTACCTTCTGATTCATCAGAATTTTCCTCCTCTTCTTCTATCTCCTCTTTCTTTCTTTTGACTCCTTGGACATTTTTAGGCTTTCCCTTTATATTCTTTGATACATTCTGATCTTTCATCTTTAAATTATTTTGACCTTTGTCCTTAACTTTGGCAGTCTGCTTAGCTTTCTGTTCTTCTTTCTTCTGTCTTAATTTTTCTTTTTTGTCATCTTGTTTTTTAATTCTATTCTTTAATCTTTTCTTTTGTCTGCTGCTAAGCTTCTTTTCTTCTTTGTCATCATCTACAACATTATCACAGTAATAAATATTGAATGCAATCCAAAAACATGTTTTTATTTGAAGATTCTATTAAAGGACTGGATAAGGAAACGCTCAACAAATATATATGAATACAAGAAAATTTGGGGTACGTGTCAGTCAGAAACCCAAAAATGAAACGCTCGTCTGGCGTACAAAATTTTAATCCTGGTATCTATGATGAAATTATTTATGGAAAAAAGGAAAAGTGGGGTATAGTCTAATGAAATGGCACAAGGTTCAACATCATCTGTTTACTGATAGTCTGAAGTCCATGGAAAGTATAACAAATACGGTAAATATCACCATTAGACAATCATTCCATGAAAACAATTGTTGATCCATTTCCTTGATTTGATCTGTATAATAAAGGGAACATTTGTGATATCCAGTTATGGCAGAAAAATAATGAGTTAATAATATATATATATAAAATTGAGAATAAAATGCTTCGCTGGGCGCAGCTTGATACGACCGCAGAGGTCGAACCCTGAATAGTTGGGGCAAGTATGGACACAACATTCAAGCTTGATACAGCTCTGAATTTGGATTGTGATTAAATATTTGACACAGCATAGGTTTCTGACACAGAAAGAATGTGGTCTAAGAACTTCAATTTTTTTAATTTACCTATTATGGTCCAATGTCCAAAATCAAAATACATGGTTAGATTCAGCATATCAAAGAACCCCATATATTCAATTTTTGTTGAAATCAAACAAAGTTTAATTTTGGGCCCCAACTTGGACAAACTTGAAAAATGGTCCCATAATCAAAAATCTAAACACATGTTTAGATTCAGCATATCAAAGTACCCCAAGAATTCAATTTTTGTTAAAATCAAACTAAGTTTTATTTTGGACCCTTTGGACCTTAATGTAGACCAATTTAAAAAACGGGACCCAAAATTAAAAATCTAAAAACACGGTTAGATTTGGCATATCAAAGAACCCCAATAATTCAATTTTTGATGAAATCAAACAAAGTTTAATTTTGGACCCTTTTGACCTCAATATGAACCAATTTGATAGCAGGCCCACAAAATAAAAAATCTAAATACATGGTAAGATTCAGCATATCAAAGAACCCCATATATTCAATTTTTGTTGAAATCAAACAAAGTTTAATTTTGGACCCCAATTTGGACCAACTTGAAAACTGGGCCAAAAATCTAAAATCTAAATACATGTTTAGATTAAGCATATCAAAGAACCCAAGATATTCAATTTTTGTTGAAATCAAACAAAGTTTAATTTTGGACCCCAACTTGGACCAACTTGAAAACTGGTCCCATAATCAAAAATCTAAACACATGTTTAGATTCAGCATATCAAAGAACCCCAAAAATTCAATTTTTGTTAAAATCAAACTAAGTTTAATTTTGGACCCTTTGGACCTTAATGTAGACCAATTTAAAAAACGGGACCCAAAATTAAAAATCTAAATACACCAAGGTTGGCAAAAAAGCGGTCAATACTAGTATTGACCATGCCGGCGGTAAATACTGGTAAATACCGGGAAATACTGGCAAATACTGGTCAATACTGGCAAATACTGGTCAATTGAAATTTTGATAGGACTTTACTATAAAACTAGTCCCTACCTCAGGTCAATTACTTGGTAAATGGATAGATATAGTCACAAGGCAGAAAGTCACTTATTTACTACATTGTAATAAGACAAAAAGTCACAATTAATTAGTTCATGAACATTGTTTAATGAAGATTTATCAAATATTAATTTAATCATACAGCAGATATAGTCATTAACACCATGAAGTCAGTCACTTAAGAGAGACTATATAACATCTGATTTTCTTAACAGTTATTTTGAAAGATGCAATTAAAATTTTTTTTTAAATTGTTTTATATATATATATGTTATATATTTATTAAAAAGAACATTTCCTGCATTTAGAACATTTTTATCATGCTGTTGAATAGTCAGGAATTAATTCATTGTTTAAAACAATCTTTAGAAATCACTTTTATGACTTTTTTCCTGTTATGTCATCATTTATTAGGGGACAGTTGTTATAGTAATTAAACTTTTGACACCTGTTAGCCATATAATAGGTAATGTTCTGATAATCTATATTGCTAGTCACTTGTAATTCTATTTACCTGTAAAATTCAAACCTTTTCAAGAAAAAAATATCTTGATTTATACATGTTAGAATAACTGATATAGCTGCTCAATTTTATATGTATACCAAAAGTATGCAATATCAATACCCCTAAGAACTAAATTAGTCATTTTTAATGTTTTAATAATTAATAACATACCAATATCATTCATTTTTATAAATTGAATCATGCCAAAGGAATAAAGTTTTCCCTCATCAACCATTTTTTTACTAGAATTGATAGATAAGTCAGTCAAAAGAAGCATGAAAATTTCAATTGACCAGTATTTGCCAGTATTGACCACTTAGGGAGTATTGTCCGGGGCGGTAAATACCGGTAAATACCACTGGTAAATACCGGGGGTGGTAAATACCGCCCAACCTTGAAATACACGGTTAGATTTGGCATATCAAAGAACCCCAATAATTCAATTTTTGATGAAATCAAATAAAGTTTAATTTTGGACCCTTTTGACCTCAATATGAACCAATTTGATAGCGGGTCCACAAATAAAAAATCTAAATACATGATTAGATTCAGCATATCAAAGAACCCCAAGAATTCAATTTTTGATGAAATCAAACAAAGTTTAATTTTGGACCCTTTTGACCTCAATGTGGACAAAGTTGATAACGGGGCCCAAAAATCAAAAATCTAAATACATGGTTAGATTCAGCATATCAAAGAACCCCATATATTCAATTTTTGTTGAAATCAAACAAAGTTTAATTTTGGACCCCGATTTGGACCAACTTGAAAACTGGGCCCATAATCAAAAATCTAAATACATGTTTAGATTCAGCATATCAAAGTACCCTAAAAATTCAATTTTTGTTAAAATCAAACAAAGTTTAATTTTGGACCCCAATTTGGACCAACTTGAAAACTGGGCCAAAAATCTAAAATCTAAATACATGTTTAGATTCAGCATATCAAAGAACCCCATATATTCAATTTTTGTTGAAATCAAACAAAGTTTAATTTTGGACCCCAACTTGGACCAACTTGAAAACTGGGCCCATAATCAAAAATCTAAACACATGTTTAGATTCAGCATATCAAAGAACCCCAAGAATTCAATTTTTGTTAAAATCAAACTAAGTTTAATTTTGGACCCTTTTGACCTTAATGTAGACCAATTTGAAAACGGAACCAAAAATTAAGAATCTAAATACACGGTTAGATTCGGCATATCAAAGAACCCCAATAATTCAATTTTTGATGAAATCAAACAAAGTTAAATTTTGGACCCTTTGGACCTCAATGTGGACCAATTTAAAAACGGGACCCAAAATCCAAAAACTTAATACACGGTTAGATTCAGCATATTAAAGAACCCCAAGAATTCAAGAATAAAACCCCATTGAAATTGATCAAGAAATAAGCAATTTATACGAAGTATCTTCTTTTGCACAATACTGTGCAATTGAATATTTCTTGCTATTGTGCAATACTGTACAATTTACAATTTCTTGCTATTGCGCAATATTGTGCTATTGGATATTTCTTGCTATTGTGCAATACTGTGCAATTGAAGATTTCTTGCTATTGCGCAATACTGTGCAATTGAAGATTTCTTGCAATTGTGCAATACTGTGCAATTGAAAATTTCTTGCTATTGCACAATACTTATTATATAATAATTTACACATCCTGTTTGGTGTGTATCTCCTACCATATCATTATTATTTGCTTTTAAATATTAATCAGAAATAACCAACTTAAAATGGAAAATTTTAAAAGAAAAAAAAAAGGAAAAAAAGAAAAAAAAAGAAAAAAAAAAATCCCCCCCCCCCCCCCCAATTTTTTGAACCCCCTTATGATTCATCACCCCCAAACTCAATCCCAGCCTTCCCTTTGTGGTTTGGTACCTTGCAGTACAATTTCAGAGAGATCCATACACTTGAACACAAGTTATTGTCTGGAAACTAGAAAAATGCTTATTTTTGGCCCCTTTTTGGCCCCCAATTCCTAAACGTTTCGGGCAATTACCCCCAAACTCAATTCCAGCTTTCCCTTTGTGATATGGAACCTTGTAGTACAATTTCAGAAATATCCAAACACTTACACACAAGTTATTGTCATGAAACTAGAAAAATGCTTGTTTTTTGCCCCTTTTTTGGCCCCTAATTCCTAAACTTTTGAGGCAATTACCCCCAAAATCAATTACAGCCTTCCCTTTGTGATATGGAACCTTGTGGTACAATGTCAGAGAGATCCATACACTTACACACAAGTTATTGTCTGGAAGTTACAAAAATGCTTATTTTTGGCCCCTTTTTGGCCCCTAATTCCTTAACTGTTGGTACCATAACCCCCAAAATCAATCCCCACCTTCCTTTCGTGGTATTGAACCTTATGGTAAAATTTCATGGAGATCCATATACTTAAACTAAAGTTAGAGTGCGAAAACCAATGTGTCTTCGGACGACGCCGGACGACGCCAGACGACGACGACGACAACGACGACGACGACGACGACGCCAACGTCATACCAATATACGACCAAAAAATTTTCAATTTTTGCGGTCGTATAAAAAGTATCTGCAGGAACAAGAACTAGAGGCTCTAAAGAGCCTGTGTCGCTCACCTTGGTCTATGTGCATATTAAACAAAGGACACAGATGGATTCATGACAAAATTGTGTTTTGGTGATGGTGATGTGTTTGTATATCTTGCTTTACTGAACATTCTTGCTCCTTACTATTATCTCTATCTATAATGAACTTGGCCCAGTAGTTACAGTGGAAAATATTACAAAAATTTATGAAAATTGTAAAAAATTGACTATAAAGGGCAATAACTCCTTAAGGGGTCAATTGACAATTTTGGTCATGTTGACTTATTTGTAGATCTAA